AAAAAAAAAAAAAAAAAAAAAAAAAAGTGATCGGAGAGGTACAGAAAAGTAAATGAGTGAAGATTTGGCTTTGGTTCAGGTTTCTTACTGTCTATGGTTAAATCACATAGTTTATTTTTTACCCCCTCTTCATAAATTACAAAGATGGTGGTTTTAATTTAGCTATAAACAGCCTATAAGATTGTTATAGGGAATCCAAAACAGAAATACCTGTAAATGTTCAGAACTGTTCAATTAGCGGTCTTCCCTGGACTCCTTGTAGAGTGATCTTTCTTAAAAAAATAATATATATATTTGGTTAAGTTGGTTTTATTTTATTTATTTTTTTGTTTTGTTTTGGAGACAGAATCTCACTGTGTGTAGTTCAGGCTGCCCTTGAACCCACTGTGTAGTCCGGGCTGGCCTCGAACTCTGGGCCTCATCTGCCTCAAGTACTAGGATTACGGATGTGAGCCACCACACCCAGCTAAAATAATGTTTTTAAGTGCATAAAATAACTGTGTATAAGATTACCAAGAAAAAAATACTGAAAACAGTTATTGAAAAAATTTTTTAAATTATAGTTAATATGTTTTTTCATTAATGCATAAATAATAAGATCTAACATGAGGTCTATGATAATTTCAAAGTAGTGTGTCTTAGTCTGCTCAGGCTGACATAATCAAATCTCATAACTAGGTGGCTTCAATAACAGTACTGGAGCCTAGAGGTTCAGGGTCAGAGTACCACTTGGCTGGTTTCTGGTGAGGTGCAGGCAGCTGTCCTTACACTGTGGCTTTTCCTTAGTGCTTGCACATGGAGACAGAGAAGATTCATATCTATCCCTCCCTCTCATCTCTGCCTCTTGCTTTCCTTATAAGGGCACCAAAACTATTGGATTAAAACCATGCTTATTATTTCATATAACTTTACCTCCTAAAAACCCCAATCATAGGAAGAGTTAAGCCTTTAACGCATGAATTTTGTGGGGACATCGTTTACATTTCCGGCCATGATGCAAATAAACAAAAAACTCCAAAGCATCTTCAGTACACTACATATGATACGAAAATAGCTGTGATCTCTTGGTAGCAAAGTCACAGGGGCTACTGCTAATGCTGTGGTTTATTGTCTACATTCCTCATAGAGGGAAAAGCTTAATTTCAGATTGGAAGATAAGATTTTTTTCCCATCCAAGTTCACGACCACCCTGAATTTCCATCCAGGGACCCTAGATTAGTAACCCCCTGATAAATGGGAGTAAGATGTTCTTGTTGGAACAAACAGGTGTCATAATCCTGGGAAGGGGTCATAGATTCTAAAGCCAGCTGAATCTGCTGCTGCCAGTTCCCTGGAGTTACTTGTGCTAAGCTGAAAAGAGACATCACCTGTTCTTGGCTTGGGTTCTGGTGTTTTCGATTGTGTGTTCGAGACTTGGAATGTGTTTTGTCTTACAGACAGCAGCAACCTAAATACTGAACTGAAAGACTCTCAGAGTTGCGAGAACTTCTGGCTTGACCCTTCTGCCAAAGGCCAGTTGGAGGCCAAGGATGAGGACGCTGGGCTTCGAGAATCCCTGGATAGATTCTACGACGTTTTTGGCCGTCCCCAGCCAGCCTCTGAGGACCCGCTCTTAGCATCTGTCTGCCATTGCCTGTCTCAGAAAATCGCTGAGCTTCAGGGCCAGGGGAGCCAGAAGTACGCCCTTCGCAGCTTCCAGATGGCCCGGGTCATCTTCAGCCGGGAGGGCTGCTCAGTCTTACGAAAACATTGCAGGGACACCCGCTTCTACCCACTCTGTGAAGGAAGCCTGGCTCTGGATGATGAAAAGCAGACCCCAGGACTTTCAAAAGATGTCATCCACTTCCTCTTGCAGCAGAATGTGATGGAAGACCCCTAACTAGGGCTGGTGACGGAGGCAGGTAGCACTGGAGGTGAGACACTCTTGGTTGTGCCCTGAAGTTCCTGCTGGCCTTGTGTGCCCAGCCCCAGCTAATTGCTTTGCAGTTAAAGTTTGGCACCTGCAACCTGGCCCTGGAGCCAGTCAGCCCATGGGGAGAGCCCTGAGGCCACCCCACCTCCCAGCCACCCCGACTCACACAGTACAACTCGCACAGTATGTGACACCTTTGCCGGTCTCCCCTCCTCTCCCCACCTCCTCCGCCCACTCCCTTGCTGGTAGGAGCCTCTCCTTAATAAACCTCTTCTACCTCAGTCCTAAACTCAGAGCTAACCCAGCTTAAGGAAACAGGATTCAGTGAAGTGAGGTTTTTATTTATTTATTTATTTATTTGGTACCGGAGATCGAACTCGGGACCTTGTGCTTGTGAGGCAAGTGGCAGATCCGCTGAGCTACATTCCTGGCTTGAAGTGAGGTTTTTGAATACAAACCTCTTTACTGAATGAAGGATAAGAATTTTACCAAGTTGTAAAGTAGAGATCATGTGATTGAGAACATAGATGCTAAAATGATATAAAGATTTAAATATGGATCCAAAAGTACCTTACCCTTTAATCATACCCTTGCCCCCTCTCCAAAGCCAGATTCCTTGTTTTACATTAACGGGATTTGGAAAGAACATTTGGACCATCTAACAGCTACAATTCACAAATGAAAAACACAAAGGCTTCTTCATCTCCACCAGATTGCAATGTGAGGAGAGAGAGGGAAATAAATGCGTGTCACCCGCTCAGCTGCGTGTGGGCCTGGTGAGCTGGGAAGCTACCCTGTGTGGCCTTGTCAGTTTGCACTGGAAGTGAGTAAGGAGTCCTTTGCCCAGCTGGATCCTCTTCCTCTTGTTATTTTTGTCTTCTGCCTGTGTGCTGCCCACTCCCTGTCATCCTCTGAGCAGTGAACCCTCACCCCTGCCCCATCCTTGCCCTGCACCCAGAGCTTGGGACGGGACCCCATGGCTGCCCTGCCTGTCCTCCAGACCTGCACTCTGAGTAGTCTGCGGGCTGCCACTGGCAGGTGCTCTGCTCTGCTCTGCGGGGCCACGTCTTAAACCCTGGTCTGAGACTCTTGGTAGAATTACATCACCTGGCACTGAGCTCTTTGTAATCGGAAGCCTTATGTTAATCCCCGCCTTGACAGTTCAGAAGGACTCCGCAGACACAAAGGGTTACATCGCTTGTTTGGGGAAACAGCAAAAGCTGGCGACTCTGTAATTAGATTTTGAGAAACTGGAGGTGAAGTTTAACTGACATAAGCCTCCCGAAGCTTTCCAGAAATCGAGGTATGCACATGGGGCAGGCTGAAAGTGTGCGTTAAAAGTGAGGGCACCCTCTCAGGAAGGTATCGTGAGGACTCTTGGATGGAGAGAAGCCTTTTAAAGTTAGCAACAACGGATACAAGCTTTCAGTTCAGGGAAGAGGAGAGGGAAGAAACTGTTGGGAACCGAAGGGCAGAGACAGAAATAGAAGGAGACCTACGAGGCAGGAAATTGGAGATGAGTAGGCCTTCAACAGGCCCTGGAGAAAGCAAGACTCCAAGTTCTCCTCTGACAAGGATTGCCTGCCCCCTGCTATTCATTGGCCCCCCATGTAATCCAGTGGGACTTATAACTGAGACCCTGAAAGTTACTTTTTAAGGTTGCTGGTTTTATTGTTTCTTAGTGTGAAGTATGTTAATAGATGCCCTGGAAGAATGTTACTGTCTTTAGTATTATTCGGACACTGAAATATTTGCAATTAGTCTCCATGGCTCCTAATAGAAGGAAAGTTGAGTTATCCTATACTGTTTTTAGAGTAAACACATGCATCTATTTAGATGTCCATGTTGGAAAGCAGCAGCTTCTGTTTCACATTGGAAAACTTCTAACCTTCATTAACACGAGTGCCCAGGGTATTCTGCAAGAGGAAGACTCTGAAAGCTGAAAATGTAGAAACCTAAAAGCCAGAATCACCTTAGGGTAGAGGGGTGTGGTGTGTGTTACTCGTCTCTGGGTAAGTGTTTGTGACAGCCCAGTATAAGATATTTGATTCTCTGCAGCCCTGCTCCTTAATTTGATCTCTGTGAAGTGAGGGTAACATTTTCCATTGATCTCTGGAAACCTTTAATAAAGATTAAAAGCTAAGGATTCTGAGGCTCTGGCCTTTGACGTTATTGTCTAATTTGGCCCTACAGATAACTTCGCTGACATCTTTTCATCCCATGGACATTGTGGCTAGCCTGACATCATTTATGGCCCTTTTCAGACCTACGGGGCCCTTGGTGAAGATGAATTTGCTTGCAGAAGCCTCAGAACTCCAAAGAGAACTACTACTGGCAGGTTAAGTTAGAGCAGTGTTACCCATTCCACTGGTCTCTTGCTTAGGGTGGCCTGTGGTGTTGGGTGTCAGAACCAGCCCGGGTCTTTGCACATGCTAAGCACATGTCTTCCAAGAGCCACCCCCCTACTCTGCCTCTTTGTCTAACCTGTTCCAGGGCACAGGTAACACATCTTATTACCAGCAGTTAGCACAAAACTGTACAGCCAAATTTGTAAGACTTTTAAAGCTTTTAAACCATTTTATTGGATTATAGTTACCCAGAAAAGCACATATCATGTAAGTGAACACCAGCATGATTTTCACACACCCATACAGCCCAGCTTTTGCTTGTGCGACAGGGACGACCAGCCAGCTGCCTCAGCCCCATCTAAGTGGCAGTGCTCTTGCCAGTGTTTCTATGCCTGCTGGAAGCACACAGTCACGTTAGATGCCACACGGACAAACAAGGTTTATTTTAATTGTTGATCAGTTCAGTATATAAGTACTATGTCAAGTCCATGCTTTCACAGGTGCTAGGTACATTGAGCTCAATATAAGTATTTAAACATTGAAAAGCACGTTAATTTAAGAATAATAAAGCAGGTAACACAGATATGTCAAAAATGAAAAAAGTGGCATATGGAAAGTGGCTACAGTTGGGAATGCCGTGGGATACGTAATGTCTGCGCTCCCTCCCCTGAGCTACTGGGAAAACTGTCCACCAGACAGGCCTGTGCCTGTCTCCACCTCTCCTTATCCTGTAGTCACAATGCAGATTCTTTTAAAAAAGCAAGACGTGTATGGATACCCAAAAATTAAGAAGAGAGTAGCCCTATCAAACCTGAAAATATTTTAACTCTGTAACCACATAAAGAGCAACAAAACAGAAATAGACACATCAAAGAGAAAGTCTGTGAAGGGTTGCATCTCAGCGCCGGTGGAACTGGAGTCCTGTGGATGATGAAAGCGGTATTTCAAGTCCATGGGGAAAAGGGAGAGTTGTGAGCCACAATCTTAGTGCAACTGGCTCCCCACTCCAGGAGGAGAGTAAAAGGCTGGATTCTGTCTCATGTCTCATATCAGAGTAGTTCTAGATGGATGAAAAATTTCAAAGTAAAAAATCATAAAAATGCTAGGCTAAAACCTGAGTTATAAGATATAGTATGTATAGAAATATATATGATTTATATACACATGCGAGATGGAGGGAGATATCTTGGAATATCTCTTAGAATGGTTTAAAAAACTGAGAATTTGATGAAATTGACTACACAGAACAAAACCTCTGGGCCGGGGATTTAGCTCAGTGGTGCTGCACCTGCCTGGCAAGCACAAGGTCCTGAGTTTGATTCCCAGCACACACAACAACAACAACAAACATAAAATTTCTGTAGATGCCCCTCAGTTTACAGTAGGTTCATGTCCTGAGAAATCCACTGTAAGTCGGAAATCTTGTAAGTCAAAAACGTATTTCCCACACTCAGCTCACCAAGCGCCGCAGCCCAGCGTGCAGTGCACCGTGGAGCAGTGATTGTCCCCCTTGGGAACGCGTGTAGTTGGCGCTGTGGCCCTGCAGCTGGCCAGCACTTCAAGACAGCGTCAGATACCTCCGGCCTGGGAGAAGATAAAAACCTCTAAATTTGAAGTTCTGCTTGTACAGAATGCATGTCACTTTTTTTAAAAACCATCATAAATCTTTAAAATTTTAAGTCAAACCATTATAAGCTGGGAACTGAACAGATAGGTAGATAGAAGGTAGACATAGATACGGCTCGTATGAAGTCATGCCCATATTATTTTTTTAAAGTTCATAACAAGATCAAGCCGGGGATTTAGCTCAGTAGTTCCACCACCTGCATCGCAAGCTCATCGTCCCAAGTTTGATCCCTGGTATCAAACAAACAAACAAAAAAAACAAGATCAAAACTATGATAAGTGCTTAGAGTATGTGTAACAGAGACTCTTTTTCTTCAACAAACAGAATTCAAATAAATCATTAGGAAAACAACCAAAGAAAAATTGGCACAGGACATGAACAGGTAGTTGGGGGGAAAACCTCACGTAGATGCCCCTCAGTTTACAGTAGGTTCATGTCCTGAGAAATCCACTGTAAGTCGGAAATCTTGTAAGTCAAAAACGTATTTCCCACACTCAGCTCACCAAGCGCCGCAGCCCAGCGTGCAGTGCACCGTGGAGCAGTGATTGTCCCCCTTGGGAACGCGTGTAGTTGGCGCTGTGGCCCTGCAGCTGGCCAGCACTTCAAGACAGCGTCAGATACCTCCGGCCTGGGAGAAGATAAAAACCTCTAAATTTGAAGTTCTGCTTGTACAGAATGCATGTCACTTTTTTTAAAAACCATCATAAATCTTTAAAATTTTAAGTCAAACCATTATAAGCTGGGAACTGAACAGATAGGTAGATAGAAGGTAGACATAGATACGGCTCGTATGAAGTCATGCCCAAGTAAACTTAAATGTAAAGAACTGCGATTTAGAACGATAATATCACCGTTGTTTTTGCCTGGTTTCTTGACTTACATTTTGGCGAGGCACAGGCGCAGGAAGAAGATCCGCAGTGGGGAGGTGAACTGGCTTGGCCTTTCTCGGGGCAACTCGGCAGCCTCTGTCAAAACTGTAAAGAGCGCGTCTTCCCTGAGCCAACAACTCATCCGTTCCACCACTTGGAGGGACTGCTACAGCTGGGGCCACACTGCGAACCGGTCCGGAAGCTCTCCCTCTCCCAACACAGACGAAGAGTCCTTTGCGGGGTGGACGTAGGCACAGAGCGGCCTGGGGCAGCACAGCGGCTGGGCGTGAAGTTGGGGGAGCTATGGGAGTTAGTGCCCAGCTTAGCGGGGCCGGGTTTGACGCCCCGCCGCCGAGGACAGGGCGGTGTGAATTTCAGAAGCCGTCTCTAGGTCAGGGGAAGGAATTTGAATTTTATTCTAAGGACAGTGGGAAATGGTTAGGAGATTTTAGGTGAGAAAATACGATGGGTTGCCATAGTTATACCAAATTAGCATTTGTTAAGGATAGCATTTCAAAGTGCTACTGAAAAATGGCTACCTAAATGTGTAACAGTAAGTTCTGCACAAAAACAAATTCCAGATGGACTGAGGATCTAAGTATGAAAAATAACACTATAAAAGTCACAGATGACACTTGTAGGTAAGCTTTTTTGTAATCTTTGCATGAGGTAGACCTTCCTAAAACAGAGGTACCGAAGTGGGAGTTTGGACGACAAAAGAATTAACAACTTTACAGTCAAAGATAGAAATCTATGATAATGGCATTGTGGTTTTGTGGAAAAATATATATTTTTTGTTTATTGTTTGTTTATTGGTTGGTACCAGGAATGAAACTCAGGACCTCGAGCTTGCCAACAAGCACCGCACCCCAATATACCTGGAACAGGATGAATATTAAAGTATTTAGGATAGAATTGTCTTAATGTCTAATGTCCATTAAAACACGTCAGTAGAACTAGGTTAAAGCAGATATGACAAATGTCACTGCCCTTCCAAATGCAGGTGGTGAGTATATGGAGGGTCACTTTTCTTACCTCTTCTGCATTTTAAGTTTTTAAAGTAAGAATCAACATTGAAGGAAAAGCAGCATCGAAACAGAGCCAGAATGAGAGAAAAAAATGAGTACAGATATTAACAAACCAGAGTTAATGTCATAATATGTGAAGAGTATCTGTAAATAAATACCAAGATGGGCCTGGGGATTTAGCTCAGTGGTGTTACCACCTGCCTCACAAGCTCGGGGTCCTGAGTTCCATCTCCAGTACTGCCAAAAAAAAAAAAAAATTAAAAAAAATAAATAAATACCAACATGACAAACTTAAAAAAAAATGAACAGAGTAGTAACAAGAATTTCACAGAAGAAATGCAGGTTGTCCACAAATACAAACAGCCACTCAGCCTGTCATAAAGAAGTGGAGTTTTGGCCAGGGATTTGGTTCAGTGGTTCTGCCACCTGCCTCGCAAATGAAAGTCCTGAGTCAATCCCTAGTACAAAAACAGAAAGAAAGAAATGGAGTTTTTAAAAGGTACCACTGTTTTTAAATGTATATAGTTGGCAAAAAATTGAAACGTTTCATCCTATGTGGTGTTGACAAAGATGTGGGGACATAGGCACTCTTAGGTGAAAGTGTGGGTCACCACTGCAATGAAAATATAGGAGAAAATTAAAAATACAGACCTGACTTTGTCACCTACTCCTGCCGCGTTTCACCTTGCCCTGGCCACATCCTTAACAACATGTTTTAAGGTAAGGTGGTTGAGTGCTTACTAAGTATGAACCATTTCAACACCACTGTTACAGACCCATTTTACAGACCGGAAAGCTGAGGACAAGGAACCAGTGGGTAGCAGAGGTGACCCCGGAGCCCATACTTCCTGATCCAGCACGCTGCCCTTCTCCTCAGGGGCATCCCATGTGCATGTCCTTCTGCCAGGAAGGTCCCTCCTGAAAGGAGTCTTTACTCTTTACCCTTTCCTTCACCTCCCACCACCACTGGGAGGGTCTCTCTTTTATATAGTCCCATGGCACCAGGAGCCTTAACTTCGTTACTTGATTACCCCAAAGAAGTGTAATAATGCAGCATTACATCCCCATCCCCACCAGAGGAACACGAGCTCTGTTTTGTTCTCCCTGCCTGGTAAACCTCGTGCAGCAGACACCAATGCTCGTCCATTTACAGTCGTCAAACAAAACATGGGAAGATGTCTTTGTGTATAGAGGCATCTCCTGAAGGATTTGGAGGTAAAATGTCTTAGTATCATTCACTTTATTGTTTGTTTGTTTTTTGTTTTTTGAGACAGGGTCTTATTATGTA